AATGATAAAATTAGACACAACACACAGAACATCCACAAATACATACTGTTTATAAAAGATATTAAAAAAACCCACTATATATCTACAAAAAATGTGCATGGACGCCTTACTAATCATCCCAAGGAACATTTGGAAGATATATTTTAAAAAAAATAGTAAAATGGGCTTTTGAAAGGGTTGTAACATGAGAGGTTTCCAGTAAGGAATAAAAGCTGGGCAGTGATTCAACTAAAGGTTAGCAATTTATTATTCCCAGGATGAAGAAACACTTGTTACTCAAGAACTTGTGGCTTCCAGAGTTAATGGAGCACCATCTTGTCTCTGAGAAGTAAAAATGGAATGAATGAAAATGTTCTTTTCAGTGCCGGGGAACAAACACAAGATTAAGCAAGCCACACTACAGCTGCTGCTTCCCAAGAATAGGGGCCATTTTATAGAACACAATTGTTATCTTCCTGTTTTGAGACGAAACCTGTATTGCCCAGGTTAGTCTTACACTACTGAGTTCAAATGATCCTTATGCCTCAAGCCTTCTGGGTACTGGGGTCACAGTGATACAGCACTCTGCCCCCTTTCCAGCAAGCACTTCACTATAAAATAACTTTAAAAAAGAGTCCTAACGACAGACATGGTGAGTCAACACCATCTGGGGACATCTCTCTAAATATGATGTACTGAGAAGACAGCACTTGTTTTGTGGTAGAAAGACAGTCTGAATCAGGGTTTTAGCCTGAAGGCTCATTCTCAAAGGTGAGAGCCCACCTTGAAGGCAGAACATCTTTTGCAAATCTACGCTGTCCAGACTACCACTGGGGCGGATGTTTATGGGACACTGGCCAAATCCCACAAGATTTACTACGGAGAGAGGATGATACCAGAATACTGAGATGTTTGGGCCTGGGTCTGGGCTCTATTTAGAATAAAAAGGAACTGAAAACTTGCTATAGAAAATTACTCAAGTTCCTGAATACTACTGCAGTGCATAGTTTGTCCAGTTGAAAAAAAGCATCGCGTAAGAGCCTAAAAGTATATGCTCTGGAGCATAGCTGCTTTTGTTCAAACCTATGTAACTTTGAGTAGGTAGAATTCAATCTCAGCCCTTATTTTAGCTTACTTCTTTCCATTGCTTTAGAGACTTGGCTCTGCCCAACCACTCCACATACTTTCACCATGAAATGTCTTAATATGAATGTTACAAAACCAGAAACCAGAAAACCTGAGCAGTTACCTCTGTGTCGTTGAATTACTGACTGCATTGCTTACACCTTGCTTACACATTTCCATTCTCAGCTTCCTGTTGTCCATTTAAAAATCTACACTAAGATGCAAAGGGGATCAGGCACCATGGATCAGACCTGTAATCCTAGCACTCAGAAGGTTGAAGTAGGAGGGCTGTCAAAAATCTGAGACCACCCTGGGCTACATGACTACAAAAAGATGTCATCCTGGCTACCACAAGGTACTCTCTGTTCACTGTGTCATGTACATCAGGGCCCATCACACACCTCACATCTGTCATCACCCCCCCCCCCCCCCCCCCCCACCCCGGGTTGCCTCTCTGCTCTCCCCCCCCCCCTTCCCGTGTGTTTTTTTTTTTTTTTTTTTTTTTTTTTTTTGGACGAGGCCTGATCTCTTTTGATGCCTATGTGGAAATTTCATGCGCCTCCCTTTTGGGTACAGTGTATTTTTAAGCACAAGAAGCCAGAACAAAACTCCTACATTTAAACAAGTTACCAACTATATCTCTTGGTATAACATTTCTATTGTTTTTGCTCAAGGTCTTTTTATATGAAATGTTTAGGAGTTACAGTGAATGATGTCTGGAGAAGAAACTGGAAGAACATTTGTGTAATGACAATATGTGGTAAGCAAACAAGGAATGGTGAAGACTCAGGAATGGAAGGCAGTTCTAAGGGATGCATTCCAGCCAGCAGGGCAGCTCTGGTTATTATGGTTAATTCTTGTTTGGGTAGCACATCTGCGAATTCTGAGTAGATAAGGAGTACTACCAGCATTAGCCTCGTAAGGAGGATATGCTCACAAAAAGAGATTCCACGAGATTAGCGGGAGGCAGGGTGAGCTCAAGTAGAGAATAGGCTCCACACACACAGTTTTCTGGCTTAATCTGGGACCCTGTGTGCTGATTAAAATGCATGTTTTGTTAACCCCTGTTGCTTCTGCTTTTGCAGCTCTAACGTTGTTAGGGAGGCCTGGAGCAGTAAACAGTTTTAGCTTTCACTACTGGAGATTTAACATGGAGCCTTTACACACGTGGAAAGAGCTCCAACACTGAGCTATTTTCACCCCTTTCTCTTTTTCTTTCTTTTAAACTTTTGTTTCTTTGTGAGAGAATGTCTAAGTCATCCAGGTTGGCCTTAAACTTTCCATCTTTCTGAATCAGGCCCCTCAGTAGTTCCAACCAGGTCCAGCTGAATGGGTTATTTCTCAACAGAGCATGGCCTTTCAGTCGAGAATACAATGTTTTTCAAGTCACGAAAAGGGTGGTGAGATGTCTCACCTGGAAAGATACTTGCTGGCAAGCCTGTTAGCTTGACCTTGATCCCAAATTATAAGAACCAACTCTCTCAAGTTGTTCTATGCCATAAACAGCATCACCCAAACACACACAAGATAAACAAATGTAATTTTAAAATGTCACACTAGCTCCAACACCAAAAGCCAATGTGACACAGAAAACTAAAACCATTATCATTTCCATAGGAGTGTATTCCCATGACTAAGGGCTCAATTCCTAACTCAGCGATGCTATTCTGTGCAAGAGGCACTGGGGAAATGGAGGTGTTACTTCAGGCAGGAGGAAGACTTACCCAAGAATGGGCTGACTATTCTCTTTCCCTTTTGTTCCTACACATGATCTGAAATCCACTGGCTGGACAGAGGTAACAGTGTACTGCAGTTGTGCTCAGATATAGAGTCTCAAGACACAGCAAGGTAGAAAAGAGAAAAATCATGGGTTATCTTAATAATGATTAAAAATAATCCAGGAGCCAGGTGCAGTGGCACACACCTTTAATCCCAGCACTGAGGGAGGCAGAGGCAGGTGGATCACCGTGAGTTCTAGGCTCAGAAAAACCACAGAAAAACAAACAAACAAATACAGGAGCCACGTTTCAAGTGGCCTCACTGCTCACTAATAATGTAATCACCACAGGTTCTCAAAGCAGTTGTTTCCACTTAGCCACACAGGGGTAGTGGCAGCTTCCTGTTGGCACTCAGTAAGGTATGTGGACCAAAAGGCTACACTAGTTCTCAACAATAGAGAACGCAATGACAGTGACAGGACTAGGAAACAAAAAGGCTTTAAAATGTGTGGGGCTTTTATTTGTATAATTTATTTTTATGTTCATTGATGTTTTAGCTGTCTGTATGTCTGTCTAATGTGCCCTGGAACAGGAGTTACAGACAGCTCTGAGCTGCCAAGTGGATACTGGGAAATGAACCTACAACCTCCGGAAGAGCAACCAGTGCTCCTAATTGCTGAGCCATGAGCCTTGTAGTCAGCAGACCCGAGAGCCTTAAATGTACAACCTTTTGTTTGCACGCGTATGTGTGTGCACTCACCATCTGTGTGCCTGTGCTTGTGGAGGTTGGAGGAGCACACCAGATAACCCGGACCCAGAGTTACAGTGGCTGAGCTGCCGGAAAGTTGGTGGATCCTTTTGAAGAGTAGCCAGTGTTCTTGACTGAGCCATCTCTCCAGCCCGCTCCCCATCCGTAATACACTTAAATTTGAAATGATGGAAAGACCACACCAAAACCCTAGTTTTAGGCCCTGAAGGGAGTTAAAACTGTGGAGCTGGGGCAAGTGTTCTGAGAATCTATAGGCTTGTTTTCCTTAAGATTCACAAGAACACCTCAGGCATAATGAGCATTTTGATTGAAACAGGAGCACTTATTTAGACATAGCTTTTTACTATTGTCATCAAGGCTGCTCTCGAACTTTAGGCTCACACCATCCTGCCCTAGCCTTGAGAGGCTGGCACTGATACTTCCATACCCAAGTAAACCTTCAAAGCTTTGGGACTGAACCCAGGGCCTCATTCAGTGCACACAGGCCTTTTAAACACTTGACGCGTTGGGGTATGACAGGCATTAACGCACAGGATTAGAAGCCGGGTACAAGAACTTGGCTTCTGGGCCTTCCCTCTGTGTGGTACTCCAGCCGGCATCCACACTTTATTTTGTGTGTAGGGGTGTTTTGCCTACACGGCATGTGCGTGCATCATTCATGTGCCTCATTCCTACAGAGATCAGAAGACTTCAGATGCCCTGGGGCTGGACTTCTGAATGATTTTGAACCAACACCATGTGGGCGCTAGAACAAACCCCAAGAACAAGTGCTCTTAACTGCTGAGTCATCTCTCTAGCCCCCAGGATCCTATTTTCTTTTTCTTTAGGGTCCATGTAGCTCAGGTTGGCCTTGAACTCCTAATCTCCCTACCTCAGCTTCACAAGTGCTGTGATAAGCATGTGTGAGCACATCATTTCTAAAAGAATACATTTGTACTTAGAGGTACTTTAGAGACAAATGAGGAAAGCGCTCTGTGTCAATGCATTACATTGTTGGCTAGCACTGCTAGCACTGCAGCCCTCCTATTCTGTCCCCAAGCTACTTCCAACTAATGCCCATCAGTTCAGCACTCAAAATCAACTGTCTAGAAGAATTGCTTCCAAACAACCCGCACGCTTGCTTCTGCTCACCTTTGTTTTCCCTTGTCTTTCAGAGCTATCCTTGAGACCCTTATTTCCAATAAGATATTTCAGAAATCTTTCCTGAGCAGGTGTACAGGAATCTGTCCTTCAGAATTTATGACACTTATTTTCTACTCCTTTAATTCTAAAACATGCTGGGCATCGACTCCACTGCCCTTCTCTTTAAGTAACTACGGTAGTTTCACATCCCAGGCTGGGTTGTAAATGTTCTAGAAATCTGGACTTAGTCTTCCTTCACAGCCCCATACAATGGACAGTACACAGTGAGCGCTCATCAAATATTTATGGTCTTCTTACAGCACCAACTGAAGTTTTGCCATAAAGCATTACAAATACATTATTTCTCATCAGCCTACACTGTGAGATGCCTTCCCTATAGTTACCACAGAGATTCTTGCTCCTTTGTGAGCAGTCTGATGACGAATAAGAGTCGAGTTCTGTCTGAACAATTCCCCACACTCATTACACTTATAGGGCCCACTTCTACTATGAATTCTCTGGTGCTTGCTAAGATCTGGCTGCTGTCTGAAGGTCTTGCCACAGTCATCACATTGGTGGGGCCTCTCCCCAGTGTGGATTCCCTGATGTTCCGTGAGAACTGACCACTGGGTAAAGGCCTTCCCACACTCGGCAGATGTATAGGGTCTCTCTCCAGTATGAGTTTGCTCATGCTCTGTAAGACTCGTCTTTTGAACAAAGACTTCTCCACACACATTGCACTTGTATGGCTTTTCCCTGGCGTGGTGCTCCTGGTGCTGAGCAGGTCCACTTTGAGCGAAGGATTTCTCCTTGTGGTGTGTTTCCTGATGGGCAACGAGGGATGAGTTATAAACAAATGCTTTCCCGCACTGTCTGCATTCGTAGGGTTTGGCACCAGTGTGAACTCCTTGGTGCTGAGTAAGCGTGGAGCGGCGATTAAAGCTTTTATTACACTTAAGACACTGGTAAGGCCTGTTTCTTCTGTGGCTCTTGAGATGGTGAAAGAGGCCTGCCTTCTGGCAAAAGGCTTTGCCACATTCATTACAGCGGTAGTGCTTTTCTCCCGAGTGAAGTCTCTGATGTTGATTAAGGGCTGACCACTGGCCAAAGGCCCTGCCGCATTCATTACACTTATATGGTTTCTCTCCGGTGTGGACCACCTTGTGTCGAATGAGGACAGTCCTCCATCGGAAAGTTTTCCCACATTCCTCACATTTGTAGGGCCTGTCTCCAGTGTGAATCCGCTTATGTTCTATGAGGCGTGAGTGCTGGCGAAAAGTCTTTCCACACTCATCACATCCATGCAACTTTCGCCCTGGGCAGATGTTTTGGTGCTCGGTGTGGCTGGAGTTGTCACCCAAATTTACCGCATTTTCATTCCGCAGAGGCTGGCTGTCCTCACTGGAAGCACCAGAAGGCTCTTTTCCAGGGCCCTGAGTTTCCTCACACTGGAGTGCATCCTTTGCTAATTTGCCAGCAGTCACCTGTTCTGCTTCCACTCCTTCACAAAGGTCTTGCTGTAGAGTTACAGTCCCGGACTCATTTGCAGTCTCCACACCTGAAACTACAAAAGGGAGCCTGCACGTTACCTACTCTCCAGTGGCAGCAGGTGACAGCTCATGAAATGAGCAACACAAAATTATTCAAGTGAAAGTCAGAGTTTCTACTACAAACTGTAAAACTGGATTAGAATTCAACAGGAGAAAAGTATATAAAACACCCCAAAATGAGCATGAAAATAACAACTCAACAGAAAACGAGACAAAGGGAAACTATACTATTTCCAAGAAAGGAGACACATAATCCTCATCACAGGGAGACACTACTCCATTATCAGGCAAAAATGAGTTAAACAGCACAGGTATAATTTTTAAAATTTTTTGTATTATTTTATGTGTGAGTGAGCACATACCTAAAGCACATGTTTGAAAGTCAGAAGATAACTTTTGGAAGTTGGTTCTCTCCTACTGTGGATTCTGTGGATAAACTCAGGTTGTCAGCTTTGCAAAGCAGGAACTTTAACCTGCTGAGCCATTTTGCCAGCACAAGGTATAATTTTTCACTCATTGAATTTACCTAATTAGTTTGGTATAACACAAAACTCACAAAATGGGTATCACAAATTATTGGTGTGAATTTATCCAAATTGTTATGGAAAGCAACTTTGCAATAACTACTGAAATTATAACAGTATATAACTTTTGGTACAACAGAACTACAGATAATAATCTATGCTATGTTATTTACTGTAAAAAAAATATCAAAGATAAATGTCATCAGTAGTGGCTGGCAAACCTGCTTTGCGCTTTCTCCATACTTTTTAATGCTAAGCAACTATTAAAAAATAAATAAAAACTGCAAGAGTCTACCATCTTAGCATAAAGGAGAAGAAAATGTTTACTATAAAGACTCTAGAAGGACACAAGGGGACAATTTCTTCAGAGTTGGGGGGAGGAGACTAGATGATTTAAATGGCACAGAAAATTTTCACTGGATAATTTTATGAATCTTTTTAAAACCGTAAGACAGTTTACCTATTAGAAAATCCAAAACTGGAAGATGCAGAGATAAGTAAGGTAGTGAGTCTCTGCCTGTTCACCACCTTTAACATTTCTGCCATGTTCATTTTACTGTTCCTTCACTGACAAGAAAATTCTTTCTCTCTTAGACTACCAGGTAGCTGCAGACACTATGGATCAAAAACGTATTTACTAAAAGAACTAAGGATATAGTCCAAGTGGAAGACAGAAATACTGTTTAGTAGACCAAAGTCTAGAAATAGCACATAGGTCAGAATAGAGAATTATAGCTACCAGAAGAATAAAATTAAGTAAACCTAAACAACATAAAGCCAGAATTTAGAAACTACTGATTTTGTAAGAAGTAAAAGGGACTGTGGATGTACCTTAGAAAGATGCAGTGCTTATCTGGCATGCATGAGGTTCTGGGAGTGAAGGAAGAAAGGGAAGGAGGGAAAAATAACTACAGGGTGACAAACCATTACACATGGAAGTCTACACATGAACATCAGATTTCTGGACAGACCCTCCTGACTTTAATGAAACAGCAGGAAGTACAAACGAGCCCTGAGGTCCTGTCTTAGATCTGCCCTTTCCTTTCTTACCTTGTTCCTCTTGGACGTCACTTTCTGCAGGTTCATACTTCAGCTTGGCTTTTGCAAACTGAAGGGATGCACTGGGCTCTTGCTCTGTTCCTAGAGGCTTCGTCTTCTGCAAGGCCACTTCCTGTTCTTCAGTTTGGACTGGGGCCTAAGGGAAATGAAAGATGCACTCTAGTAATAGCAAACAAGAGTATAGTGCTCATGGCGTTGGCACATGGCCTACTCAAGCCTGAAATGCCTTTTTTCAAAACAATCAGCCTGCCTCGATTCCACTCATTTTTCAAGGTCATTTTAAAATGTTATCTTCTCCAGGAATCCTTCTTTTCCTTGCTACAGCCAAAATTATGTTGGCTTTCTGTCATTTTCTGTCTTTGTCTAGTGTTCAGAGAACAGAGGTGGGAAAGAGGTGAAAAGAAGGAAGAAAGGAGGAAAAAAGCATTCAGGAGGAAGAGGCTGGAGAATGGCTCAGTAGTTAAAAACACTTGCTGCTCTTCGGAGGACTGGGATGTGGGGTTCCCAGGATCTACCATGGGTGACTTCCAACTGTCCATATCTCTGGTTAGCAGGTATAGTATCCTAAAATTATTCCTGTTAATTCTACTTTCAACCAACAGGCACCTCCACCACCACTGTAGAATTTACCCAATATAGTGAGTGAGCAGAGCGACTATTTTAAAATTTTCTTTATATTTCTCTTCTGCTCAAAGCCAGGCACTGACTATCCATTTACCAAAATCTAAATTCTTTATAAGGGTCTGTAAATCCCTACATGATATAATTTCTTTAATTCTTTCATCTTCTCAACAAATTAGTTCTATCCTGGATATACTAACAGCACTTAAAGCCTATGCAGTCAGCATTTCCTCTCCTTGAAAGCTCTGTGACCTGAGGTAAAACCATTTCCTTCACTATGCTTTTTCTCTACTGTTTTTCGTAGACTTCTCAACATCTAACACCTTATATTTTTGTGGAATCTTCTTCTTTCTATCTCTTCTCAGTAGACTAGACTCTACATAGTAATTTGTAAATGGCGTTTACCGCTGCATTCCAAGAGTCTCTGACGGCATGTGGACAAAAATTGGCATTCTACAAAAACCTGCAGAAGGGCCACCTACAGTCTTTAGCACTGTCAGGGATGTCTTTGCCAGCTAGTTCTCTTACATGTAGCCATGATTTCATGACCCTGTTTCTGTTTCAAACTTTTGGCCTCCTTCTCTCTCTCCCATCTATTTCATACCCGAATATCAGATTATAATTCTTTTCTTTCACAGGTTCATACTCTTCATACTGAGATTTCATAATTTCAGCTCTTCTGATATGCTCTTAGTAAGTTCATTTGTTGCTGTCTGAGGCTGGCTTGTGTGCTGTTCGATGTGTAGAATTATCTCTGCTTTCCTCAGTTATAACAGTCAAAAATTTTCTAAGAAATTGCCATATGTCCTCAAAACTCCAGTGGTTGAAAACATCTTGTCATAGTTAAGACAAAAATAAAAAAGGGAACAAATGATTCTTCTGCCTCTTTTATATAACATTTACAGCTCATTTAGACTATCGAGAAAAGATTTAGAGCCTTTGTACTAGAAGAAAACCTAAGCTGAGAGGTTTATGGTCAATATCATGAACTCCGTATCTCAACTTTTCTACTCACACTTCAGCTTTCCAACATTAATGGGCTTTCCATACCTCCAACCTGTATTCCCTGCCCTAGCTCTCCCCCCTAAATTTCCATTCGGCTCCCACATCTCATTCATTCAGGATAATGATTTTCATTTTTCCGTCTTTTTACTCTTTAGTGCAGAACCAAGGCAGTGGATACATGTTTTCCTGGAAATATGTAAGCATGCTTTTCACTGCAGATAGGGCATTGATAACAGACCAAATAAAGATCCCATCTAAATCTAGCTTGGCCCACCAATGAGTTTCTTGAACTTGCTTACAGCCCAGGTAAGGCATTTCTAAAGACACAAGGGTAACAAGTCCCACCCTAGCACTGGTGAGGAATCCATCAAATTTGCAACACTGGAGTCTTGCTGTCCACCAACAGCTGGGGGAAAAGAAATATTAACAGCTGGTACCCTCCACCAATGTTTCTACTAAGGAGTTTCTACTAGGAGAATCCAGGCCCAACACCAGGTACATCGCTATCATGGTTCTGGGGGTGAAGCACAGGCCTGGCACATACTAAACAAGTCCTCGAGCACAGAGTTATATCCCAGCTCTTATTATTTTTAAGACAGGGTCATGCTATGTTGCCTAAATTGGTCTCAAACTCTCAATCCACCTGCTTCTATCACCTTCTGAGCACTAGCTGACAAGCATGTGCTCTTGGTCAGCTCAAATCCTTATTTCTTAATTACTAGTTTTATATTACACAATACATAACACTATTACAAGAGGCTGTTTTCCACCCTATTATCACCATCTCTTTAATACCTTGCCCTTCCAGCATCTTTTGATACCTTCTCTCTGTAGTATGAGCCTTGTGTTTCTGAATTAGGAAGATATTTATCCGACAGAATTTTGTAGTTTAGCACAGAAATACACACCAATCTCAGTCTTAAGGGTGTGAGACAGTAAGACCACAAGCTCAAGGCTAGTCTGTTTAACATACAAGTTCAACCCCCAACTCCCCATGAAACTAAAGCTCCTTTTGGATCTACTTAAGCGTCAATATGCTTTGTGAAATAATGGTTTGCTTCACTATGGCCTACAAATTCAAAACTCCTTTAGGGGACAGACACCCCATTGTTTTCTTACCCGGTATCCTAGTTCGTCCAACTCTCTCTCGAGATCCTCCAGGACAGTCACTACCTCCTCCACACTCTCGGGATTCTGCTCCTGCACCCAGGCCTGCAGCTCCCCTGGCAGGATGGTCAGGAACTGCTCCAGCACCAGCAGCTCCAGGATCTGCTCCTTGCTGTTCAAGTCTGGCCGCAGCCACTGACAGCAAAGTTCCCGAAGTCGGCTCAAAGCCTCCCGGGGTCCAGATGTTTCCCGGTAGCAAAACTGTCTGAAGTATTTTCGGAAGACCTCTCTGTTATACGTCTTCCTTTCTAGGCTCCAATCTTCTCTGGTGGTATACTTACATTTTTCCTCCATCTTTATCTCCAAAAGCCCATCCTGGTTCTTACAGATCTTGTTATCAGCAGTAGAAGCCATCATAGCTATATAAAAGATTTATCAGTGTCTCAAATAATAACTCCCTTGTAAATTTTCTTACCAAGCGGACCTAAGGGATAAGCCATCATTAACACAAACTACCATACGCAAATACTGAATATTCTAAGAATTTATGTGGAGTAGTTGAAAGCCTGCCCTCCAGTTAACTCACTGTATTTTTCTACAAGTACTTTCACAAAAACAGACAAAGGTGGAAAACATGCCATGTTGTTTCAAGACTTCAGGAGAAAAGGCTTGGTAAGAAACTTAGCTCCACTTACGCCTAAAGTAAAACACAATCAACTGAAATAAAACCTTTAGACGGCGTTGGGTAAGAGCAAGAGCTGCCTACCACGCGCGAAGTTCAATACCAGTACCACAAAAATAACGGAGAGAACAGAAGAGCAGACAACTAGGGTACCCAGGACTTGCTGTTTTTGAAAATTTCCTGCATAGCTGATGCCTGGTGTCATACAATCATTTACACAGTACAGTCTCGCGAATTGGCTTTAGCTGGGACTTATTTATAAAGGTGAAGGGTCGGAGAGGTTACTCTGCCTCTCTCCTGCCCCTCCATATTCTGTGATTCTAAATCTAGTAACTTGTGCCGCGTGCCTAGGTCCCGGCCAGCTCTGCGCCCCAGGCGTACCCACGGGCGTCCACACCGCGGCCCGGGTGACCTTCCCCTCGGCTGCAGCCATCTTTCTGGGAGCCGACTCCGGGCAGCAGCTCACGCCCTCCCGCCGGCCGGGACGGGCAGCTCGCTCACCGCGGCGCTCCTGCGCAGGGAATGACACTCCAGCCCGCCCAGGAACCGGAAGCCATCGCGGACCCCCACCGAGGCCGGAAGCCGTGGCGGCGGGTCGCCCGGCGCGCACGCCCAGAGCCGCGGAGTTCCACCGAGCGGATTGTCCTCGCGCCTGTGCGGGGAGGTCGGGGTGTTGTGTCTGAGCGTGCCGGGCGGGATCAGTTCGCCCGGATCCTTCCTGACTCCGCTCTGCTTCCCCGCAGTCTCCTCAGACCCAGCCTGGGGGTTTTTGACGATGTTGTCAGTGATTCTCCTCCAGTCCCTCTTAAGGTTGATAATGCGATCACAGATTTGAAAAGCCAGGACGGCCAATGGGAAATATATACCAAAAGGATAGTTGAGTACATTAGCAGGGTATAAACCACACTAATATCAGCCTTCGTACGTTCCTGTGTGAATGAAAAGGCCACAGCTACAAAAACAGCAACAAAAACACTCAAAAGAGATGCGCCACATATGCTTGGAAGAAACTTTAAAACACTCTTTAAAGGCCAAATATGAACATAAATAGGAAGTAATGTGCTTTCCTTGGATAGAAAAAAACACAACAGTCGGTATTCATTAAATATGTTTGCAACAATGGTATCCCCATAAACACAAATATTTTTCTAAAATTAAAAAAATAAAAATGGAGAAGAGTCAAGAACCCACTGAAAAACAATAGTGATTAATGGTCTCATCATGAGCCAGAACACTCAGTTACGGAGGGAAAAAGAAATCTCATCCCATTCTTTGGGAGCTAGTGTACACAGAGAAGGTGACCCAAAACAAACAAACAAACAAGCTCTTAAAGACATTAAGAACTTATTATGGAGCAAAATATGTGTGGATTGTGGCCCAGGTACATGGATTTAGGTTACCAGAACAAAAAGTAATAAATCAAGAAAATTTAGAGAAATAATTGGTGGAAATGTAAGTTAGGTGGTTGATAGCTATCTGAAACAGTCTTAGCCAAGTGAAACCAAGTGACCTGTTAGTACATTTCAAAAGGATTTATGTAATGGAATTTTTGGTTTCTTTGTAAATTCAGTTGTGTTATGTAAATATGTTTTTGTTTTAATCCCAAGTGTGAGATTTTAGTTGGGCTTCAGTTTGTCCACAGCTGATAATTGTCTCATACAGGTTGTGGCTTTTGGTAGCTGGAAATGGCCTGCCTTGTATGACAAGGAGAGGGGCGTGTACTAGGGCTCTGAGGATATAAATAGAGGGCCCAGAAAGAGAAGGTGTGGCCTGCGGTGGTGGTGGTGGTGGTGGTGGTGGTGGTGGTGGTGGTGGTGGTGGTGGTGGTG